CTGAGATCCTCCTGTTTGCCTGTGTTTGTCCTCCCTGGGCCCCTCTGCATGCCCAGCGACTTGGTGGCTCCTGGCTGCCTCTGCAGAGAGCAGAGCCCTGATCAGCACAGGCTGCTTGGGCGAGGGAATTGAAGTCCTTTGGGGAGCAGGCAGCACTGCAAGCACTGCTCAGGATTTTTGCTCTCTTCCCTTGTGGTTGTGGTGTATGTTTTTGGTAGATGGGAGGATTTGCTGGATTTGGATGGGAGGCAGGTCCTTTCTCGTGCGCTTTCTGCCCGTGTTGGGTGGCATTGCCCCTGCTGCTCTGCCTAGGGTGGGACAGTGCTGGGTGTCAGCCCCTTGGAATTGCTCTCTGCCTTTTAAACTTACATGCTGGAGTGATCACAATGCCGAGCTTGGCACCGGTAGCAGGTGAGGATAAAGGGCAAGGTTTCCTCCTGCTCAGTTCCCTTCTGTGGAATGGGATGGGTCTTTCTCGCCCAATTCTTCAAGGCCGTGTGCTCGTTCCACCCTGAGATGTGCCTCGGTTAAATGTTGGAAAAGTGTAACCTGCCAGCACCTACGAATTGCCTCCTTGTTGGAGATGAAAGTGCTTGAAGGAGTGAGGGATTCCAGGGTGGGATTCCTAGCACAGTATTTCTGCTAACTCCCTTTTTCGAATTGGAGAGGAAGTTGCTGCTGTAGGAGCCAGAAGGACACAGCTAATATTCGGGGATTTGTGGAGGGAGGTTTTGGCTTCTCCTTCTCTTTTGTCCTTTGTGTCCAATCCCTCATGTGCTGCACTTGTAAGGGAGCAAGGCAGAGCGTGACCTTCCAGTATAGCCCTTTAGAGCATAAAGGACAAGGCAAAACAAATAGATCTGAGGATAAAGACTCGGTCCTTATTTTCTATCGGTGTGTTCACGTGCTCTCATTAAGCAAATGTTGTTGTTGTTTTTTAATTATTAACCCCTATTTAACGAGGGTTTCTGCCATCGTGATGACTGAGTCCTGCATAAGCAAGTGAAGTGCTGAACTGTTCAGAAAGGACACCCTGGCTACAGCTCTTTTGACGTTTCTGTTCAAGAGAAAGAGGTTGCAGCTCTAAAAGCACTTGTATGTGTTCCAGCACAGATAAGAGGTTTTTATTTCGCTTTCTCACAACTGCCCAACAGGGGCTTGTTTCACTTCCTCTTCTCTGCAGCTGAACAGCAGAGACACTCAGTTTTGTTTGGTCTCTTTAATATTTATTATTAATTTATTTTAATGTTTATGCATGTTGATGTTTTACTCTAATGGAGAAGAGAATGTGACCTTTTAGGACAAGGCACAGAAATAAACGTTGGGTGGGAATTCATTATTGCATGGAGTTGATCAGTTCATGAACTTAGGAAAAATAATCAAAATAAATACACAGTCTATCAGCTGTATTATGTAGTTATTAAGGCTGCGCATGCTCATGAAGCACTTGGAAATAGTTAATGAACATTGTGCTCATCTCTAGGTGTAAGAGATGAAGCTGAAACTCAATCCAGGGTAAGGCAACTCCATACCTGCTTGCTCTAGGGTTGCCATTTCTGTTGCCAGCTGCTGCCAGAGCCCAGGTACTGCACCAAGTGAACCCCAGCGCTGAGCCTGTCTGCCACCTGTGAGTTACTGTGCTGCAGGAGTGATGTATTTATGTAACACTACAAGAACAGCCTTAAAATAAATAACACAAAGTGCTGTGGCTGGGCTTCAAGGCTTGTTTTTCTTATCATTTTCCTTATCTTCCAAAGGACAGCGGTGGGTGGTATCCCTCCAGCTATCGCTGGATCTGTCCTTATACTTTCCCTGTGGTTGTCACTTCTCTGCCCTCACAAGGCAGATGGAGTTTTTATCCTAAAGTTATTCTCAGCCCACGTTGTTTGTTTTTATTTTAATGTCATTTTATTTTTATTTTAATGTCATTTCCAAAGTGGAGCTCTTGGACTTTGCCTATTTCCAACATGCACTGATTTTATAAAAGAAGCAAAACAGTTTTTGACTGACCCGAACATCATTTCATTTTATTTTCAGCTTAGCCACCACCTGAAAACTGTTTTTTTTATTTGTTCGTTTTTCACAGCTGTGGCCAGCTCTGGATGATAAGCATACTCTGGTAGATTCATGCTTTACAGCTGATTTTGGTATGCAGACCCCCTAATACATTTGTCTGATCACTGCTCTCCTGACCTCATAGATCAATGCCAAGGCTGAGTGCGAGCCCTCCAGTGTTGCTCTAATTAGAGCAAACCAGCTATGATCAGATTAACTTTGTTTGCACTGTGCTTATAGACAAACTACAAAAGCGAAACAGAGTTAAAGCGTGTAGGACAGTGACAATATGGCATAAATTAGAGAAATCAATAATGGAAATTACTGCTCGATAAACACATCAGTCTGGCCAAAGGCAAGACATTTCAGAGAAATATGTTGGCTTTAAGTAAAGCTGCAGCTCTCTCCCCAGCTACTGTGTGAACTGTATGGTGAATTAGCAGCTCTGGGAACTGAAGTCCCTTTATGGGGAGAAAAATTGTCTTATTCCTTGGAATGCTGAGCTTTTGGTAGGGGTAGGAGGGGAGCACCTCTGTGCTGGGACTGCGGGCAGCCAGAGCTGGCTGTGGCTGTGCTGTTGGTGCTGCAAAGTGAGCGCATCCCTTCTACAAAGGGGCCAAGGGATATGACCTCCTCAGGTCGTACCCACACTGCTGTGTCGGTGGGATCTCATGCTGTACAGTCACATTTCAGGAACTGCTTTTGGAAGGTGTGCATTCTTTACAGCATCTCTTTAAAAGCATCAGCTGGTTGCAGGGACCGGTGGTGAGGTGATAATCCTTTGTTTCATTAAAGGATCAAGAAATCAATGGCCAGTGATTCTGGAGTCCGATGGTCTTCTTTCCAGGGTGGCATCTGCAGCTGCTAATTTGTTGTCATGTGCATCCTTATCTCAGGGGCTGCTCATTAAGTGAGACCTGTTATCATTACTGCTGATGGGAAGAAGTGCTCGGACTCCCTCTTATACCAAAAATGCGTGGGAGTGAATAGGATATGATAACTTTCAGGATCTCCTCTGACATAAGAACTGAGTGATCAAAACCAGCCGGGAACATGTAACAAGGACCTTGCATTCCTAGCCAAGGGAAATCAGTTATCTAGGGCATCGAATCGTCATGGTTCTCCCAAAGAAAAATACCATTTAGTTTAGTCATTCTGCAGCTAGTCTTAATTAATTATCCCATGCCACATTTCTGTTCACATCCCCAAGAATCAAACTAGACCAATATATGACAGCATACGTCTGTTGGGACAAAGTACAAACCACATCTAGCAGCGCTTTGGTTTATGACAGCTTTCATATAATGCAACTTTCACTCTGCATCCCCCTTTTGGCCACCTTCCACCTTGGAGGTCGGAGCATGCTGCCCAGGGAGGACCCTGGTGCAAACCAGCTCCAACAAAGTTGCTTCTCTTTGCACAACCCAGAGAAGCAAACCAAGGCCATGGCTGCTCAGAGGGAATTTGGTGTTGGTTGTGCTGGGCACGGCCAGCCTGCGGTGCCTGGCATGTGGGGGCAGAGACACCACGCACGGGTGGATGGTGGTGATGCCACTGGGGAAGAAAAACAAATAACAAAGTCATTTCTATCTATCAGCAGTTTTCCTGGCCATGCAGAGAAGAGCAACGAAGCTGGTGAAGGGAGCAGAAAACGAGTGTTATGAGGAGTGACTGAGAGTTTTCACAGTCCCTGGTGGTATAGTTACAGACCCTGAGGCATCTGCAGGTGAAGGGTCAAAGATGAGTATGCTAGGGCACATTTCTCTCCTCTGGGCTTCAATACTCAGCAAATTTCTGAACACGGAGGGCGATTTAATTCCTGGCAGGCTCTGGGAGTCATTATCTGAGCCTGGCAGCAGTAAGAGGAAGGCTGTGCTGGCCTCCCTGAGGGTCAGCTCCTTCCTTGGCCTGAGACCGCTCCTCAGGCTGCGTCCTGCACTTACCTGTCTTCTTCTTGAGTCCTTTGCTGCAGACACACTGAGCAGTTCAGTTCAGGACAGCATCTTGGTCTCAGATAAGCCTGCCGTTGTGTTATCCTCCGTGCAGACATCAGAAGAAATGCACATGCAAGTTCTTGTCCGCAAGCTTAGGCTTTTGTTCTTCAGAGGAACATTTGTTTCGGTGCTTCTTCTGAGGACGCCAGCGTGTAGCAGGGGGAAACGCTGTGAATTGGGCCTTTGTTCCTGTTCCCAGCGTTCTGAGTTTGTTTATGTGAGAAGCGGCTATGGCTTTACTCTTGTGAGGGCAATATCTAAGCTCTGCTAGGCTGTTTGGCTTTGTGGCCTGGCAGGGTGAGCTGACAAACTGGAAACCACAAATTGCTGCTGGCCCAGCTTGGATGAGTCTGGTAAAATCTCACAGAAACATCTCAGGACTTAATTCCACTTTTCCTTTTCTTTCTTATGTGTGTAAATGTGTTGTTTACCCTTTTGATTTAAAAGCTCCTGGTGGTGAAGCAATTTGGGGGGTTTCTTGACATCAAGTAAACAGTGCTGGGAGTCTTTGACAGCGGCTTCCATTTCATCCTGTGTTTATCCCACAAGTGTTCTCGGCAGCTTCTGACTGAGCCTCATAATCTTGTAGGTCAACAAGGCATGGAGGATGGCTGAAATGGATGCTGAGTTCTGGAGCCAGCAGGACAGTTGTTAGCTCTCTGGCTGCTCTCCCCGTGCCCTAGCCCAGCAGTGAGAGCCGGGCAGGTTCCTCCCACGAGCAGTGGCTGCAGCAAATGTGGCTCTCTGCCCCACTTTTCTTCTTTTCCCAATGGCAAGAGCAGTCTGGCCCTGACCAGACCCCAGGCTGCTCTTCTTTAAGATGCAGAATCGGTGTGCCTTGTATTGCCAAGGTGACGAGGTCCAGAGGGAATCGTAATGCCTCGTTTGGTTCAAATCCATCCTTTCTTTGTTCTGTGCAGTCACCTGACGACGTTGCTTCTGTGCCTGCAGGGAACTTCTGGAGCTGACTTGCCGTCTTGCCAACACCCTGAAGAAATATGGGATACGGAAAGGGGACAAGGTTGCCATCTATATGTCCGTGTCTCCCATGTCCGTGGCGGCCATGCTGGCGTGCGCCAGGATTGGGGCCGTGCACACCGTGGTCTTCGCTGGATTCAGCGCGGAGTCCTTAGCTGGGAGGATCCTGGACTGTAAGTAGATGCAGACCAGGGAACAAACCCATTTGGACAGTGCTTGGCACCCTCCAAGACATGCTGACGTCCAAATTCTGTGTTTTCTTGGCAGAAGAAGAAAAGGTTCATTCTCAGCTGGCTGGATAGTTCGCTTTTCTTTGCAAAGTACTTCCCTTTGCAAAGTGAAGAGCCTTTTCCTTAGTGGCAGATGAAGTGTCCTCTGGCCTTAAAATACTTCATAAATTGCTTAACATTCAGTCTGCTCTGGGTTACTGCCAACCAAAGTAAACCTGGAGGGAAAATCAGAGCTTAGGAATGCGGCCTGATTTGTTCTGATGCGGTGTAATTGCAGTGTTTCTCTCGTACTTGTGCACGGTGCTAATTCTGCAGTCTAAATTGTGATACTGTGATTTATGTATAGCAGTGAGGCGTTGGCAGTCTTCCCCCGCTGTGTTAGCCATTGTACCAACATACAGAGCAGTTCTTAACCCAAAGCAGTTGTAGTGTGATTAGATAAAAAAGTAACGCTAAAAATACAGCAGAAGTACAAAATAGCAAGTATATTCCATCTAGCAGTTGCATCAGCTTCTTTATGGCTGATGTGAAGAAATAAATCTTACAGCAGTTTTCATGCTTTTTTTTTAAAGTAAATCTATAGAGAGCAAGTATGTGTTTTGATTATCCCTCACTTTTGGCCACTAAGTGGAGGCTAAAGAATCATTTTTCTGCATCTTTCTATGGAGCTTTGTAATTAATTCAGTGAGATACAGTTTGAAGTGGTCCGTCAGAGTGCTGATACGTGCTGTGGCTTCCAGGAAGTTTCCCCTCTAAGTACTGAGTGAGTTTCAGAAGGCTGCAGGTATCTCAGAGCAGGACAATGCCTCTGAGAGGGTGCTGAATTTAGTGCTGCACAATTTGGAATGGGTGTTGTGTGCAGGCTCAAAGAGGGGATGAGAAAGGGGTAAAGGAGATGCTCGTTCACTGAGGCCTGCTGAAATTGTTGGAGATTTTATGCTGGTTTCAGTGCGTGAGGTGTTAGCCTAGAGAACCAGCATGCACTCTGAGGTATGTAACTGGGAAGAAATCGTTCTGTGCGTTGACTTTGACAGGTAGGAATTTGTACGTTTAAATTAGAGTGAGTGATACTTTGGCTAGACATTGGGAAAGACTTTCTCATGTTCATAACAGAAATGGGAGTGAGCTGGTAGAGAAGGAATAAATACTTAACATTGGAGTGGCTAAATACTAAGCATTGGAGTTGGACTGATAACTGCCAGCAGTGGCTTAGCTGGAGCTGACCCTTTAGGGCATTTAGGGTGGAGGGGATGGTCTAGGTAAGCTCTGAAGGTTCCTGCTACCCCTAGTCTGTGCGAGAGCCAGGTTTTAAAGTGGTTTTGTCAGTGGCACTGACTGACTTTCATTGAGAGAAATTTTGAATATTTATCATATGCATTGTGCTATACATCATTCCCAAAAGTAATGCAAGCAGCGTGCACATATTGGAAAACAGGCTGGTGTGTCTGCTAATTCTCTCTTCTTTTTAGCTGGATGCAAAGCAGTTATCACCTACAACCAGGGAGTCCGGGGAGGCCGAATCATAGAGCTGAAGACGACGGTGGATGAAGCTGTAAAGAACTGTCCAAGCGTCAAACATGTATTTGTAGCTCAGAGGACAGATAACAAAGTCCAGATGGGTGACCGTGATGTGCCCCTTGAAGAAGTATGTTGATGCTGGTAAACCTCGCCTATTTTCCCTGCTGTTTGTCCGTGTGATGTTTACCGTGTTGGGGGAGAGGGATATGTTCTACTAACAAGCACAGGAACCAGCTAACACAGAAATCTCTGAGAGAACCACTGCAGGGCTGTTCAGAACACAAGCATGAGAGTCTTGCTGAATGTATAGATTATGCACACACTGGTGGCTTTGGTCTTTTGCCTGCTGTGGGCTGCATGATTAGACTCTGCAGCCAAGAAATATCAGACAGTCTCCTGATATTTCTTTCTTTTCATATGTGTGCTGAGTTAAAACCTATGAATTTTGGCACTGCAAACTTGGCACTCCAGTGTAGCTACACCAAATCTACCAGGGACGGCTGGCATTTATGCTGCTTCTGGAGCAGGTTTGCAATGTGTGCTGCTCTTTCTATACTGCTGCAGTACCCCAGTGGGCTAATGGACACAACTATATTACAGTGACAGCATCTATATATCACTGCAGTCACTTAGCTCTGCAGATGCCCCCTGGCAGTCTGGTTAGCTCCATTTAGGTCTGGGTGTTGGCTACATCATCTTTCTCTCCACTTGTGCCTTTTGCTCCTGAGTTCTGCAGATGAAAAGGAGATGCACCTTACAGCATCTGCATTTTCATCCTGAAATAGGATGAAAATAATTCATCCCTGAATTATGGTTTGCTATGACTGTGAGTTGAAGCAGCTCAATCTGTGTCTGATTTATCCCAGTATAAATCCCAGGGATATGTTGCTCCATTTCAGCAGTCTTGAAAACCATGCTACAGTTTTAGGAATGAGTGTTTCTTGAGACCCAGAGTGATACCATTGCTGTTACTGTTGTACTATGTGCAGACACACCGTTTTGATTTGTGAGCTCTCATACGTATTCTCAGACTGGACACTGCTGAAAGGCAGCGCAGAAATAATCAGGTTCCTGAGAACTCTTAAAATAGTCAATAAACAGTGTCATAGCTACCCCATGACAGGAGGGTAGTATTTATAACTTGTACTCTAAAGAAAGAAAGGAGAAAACAGTGGTGATTTTTAGTTTTTAGCTGGCACACACGGGACTCTGCAACCTAATGTAGAAGTAGTTTTATCAGTTTGCAAGCAGTGGTAAACAGAAAATACTCATCACAATAATACCTGGAAATCACCCCTCTGCAGCCAAGATAATTACTCAAGAGTCCCTGTGCTGGTCACAAGAGATAAGGAGCAACTACTAGGGTAAGTTAAACAGAGAAGGCAGGTTTTATTCAGAAATTGTACAATAAGGAAAAATGTTTCAATGTACTTTGTTGAAAGAGTAAGACAAACAGCCCGAGGTGCTCTGGAGATCTAAGAACTGAGCTCAGCTCATTGTCAAGTGTAGGATTAACTCTGAAACATAATGAGAATTCAACTGCTAATGCTTTTAACTCTGTCATCACTGATCTTCACAGCAGTTGTACTTACCAGCCACTGCGCTTATCTTCCCACATCGTAGATACTTTCTCTTTAGTCCTGTCTCACATCTGTTCACTCCTCTGCTCACCAGTGGAACCCCATTCGTGCCTCTGTAGTGCAATTTTGTGTCCTTCATACAAGCCTCTGAGAAGCAGTGAGTCTGGGAGGGTAATGTGGGAAATAACTGAGATGCCACATGAACTGGCTGACTCTTTGTGATTTAATTGGCTCACATTATCCTCTGTCTTAACTGAACTCCTGCAATAGCTTACTGTAAAATCTAAGCTCATGTTTTAATGGAGCATATGTAAACTTCATTTTAGTATCCAAAACTGGTAAATCAGCCTATGCTGGTAGTGCTGAAAGGTCGTTGTAAATACCTAGGAAGTCAGCCGATAAGAATTATGTCTGACTGTATCAGCTCTTCTTATTTTATCAAGCTTTGTTTGTCAGACACTTGTAAATGTTTGGACCTGGATTTGTAGTGTTTGCTTGTAAGAAGAGTGTGTTTACGATATATACTTGTAAAAAAGCAGTACCTAGAAATTCCCTCAAAGAGCAACCCTTGCAGGAATCATTATTCTCCCAGGACCATACAGAGCCTGAGAAAAACAAGCCAGCTGTGCCTTTTTACAGCCGTATGTCGAGCATCTGGAACACACGGTCATTACTGCAAGTTTGTACACAGCAAGAAAAATGTTCAGCCTCTTCATGAAAAATTTACAGTTTGAGCAGACAAGCAAGACAAATGATGCTCTTCCAGAGTGCCTTTGTGTTGTTCACCCTGCTCTGGAAGAAGTTTTTTTTTTTTTTTTTAGGTGTGTTTTATACATGAAAGCTTTCTAGTGATGGAATAATACTTTCAATTCACAGCCCATCTTAATTCTAGCACTTTGCATCATTGATGGAAAGCATAAGTTTAGCACCCTTAGTCTTTTCAGATGGGGAGTGTAAGTAGAAAGCTCAGAAGCAGCACTGACCAAGCATACAGTAGGCATTCAGGTTTCAAGTCTAAAGCTTCACCACCTGTTTTGGTCTGAAGATGTCTCTCAGAGTCCCTAGTTTTGTTGTTTTTCACAGTACAACTCTGTGCCAGACCTTAGCTGCAACTTATGTTCTGTCTGGATCAAGCACGTGAGTCAGGACTGGGAGCTGGTCCGGATGCACTTTTGTGCAGGATCTAAATGCTGATGAGAAGCAACATCCTGTGTAAGTTCTTTGTCTGGGACTTGAGCACTATGCGTACTTGCTGCTGTGCTGTGTTTTGGATGTTGGCCTTCTGCAAGCAGTGCTGCTACAGGCACATTATTTCCCCTTCCTCTGATGGACTGAACATGCAAGCGTGGCCAAACATCTGCTCTGGACTAGTAGGACGTTGCATCCTTCCCTCCAGTGGTTCGGACACTACAGGTGAAGAGAGGATCTAGGTTCTCACCCACCTGGCCAAATGATGGTGTATTAGAACAACAGAGGCAGGAGGGTAAAGCACTGGGCAGAAGTAATGAGAATTTCAGGATCGAATGGACAGGACAGCCAGGCTCTGCTGGGGCCAGAGAAAAGAGATGAACACACAGTTTAACTATAACGTTACAGTCTTAAAAGGAAAAGATCCCCAACAGTATTGAGCCTTGCTGCTGCTGCTAAGTGTGGTTCATGTTTACAGTCAATCTTTGGTTTTCTTCCAGCAGTTTGCAAAGGCTTGAGAAGCAAGCTATTGCCTTTTTTTTTTTTTTTCTTTTTTCTTTTTTTCCCTGTGATGTTATTTTATCTGGCCAATTCCCTTTGGCTTCTGGCAGAGCTGTTGGGTGAGAGGCTAGGTGCTTTGTGTCCCCAGGAACCTTTCCACAAGGTGAGCAAGTGTAACCTACGATACATCCGTGCACGTTTGTGAGGGGTACAAGCAATGATGGTGCTTGTCTCTTGGCCCTGCTGACATGTTTACAGATGGAGTATATGCAGTATTGATTGGCTCCATATAACCAAAATCTTGTCATCATTACCCATTTTTTTTCTTAGGAGATAGCCAAGGCAGCTTCTGAATGCACTCCAGAGAGCATGGACAGTGAAGACATGCTTTTCATGCTGTATACCTCAGGCAGCACAGGAAAACCCAAAGGAATTGTTCACACCCAGGCTGGATATCTGCTGTATTCTGCTCTCACGCACAAGGTAACTCAGACATATCACCTGGAAGAGGTTCATTGACCTTCTGACAGTATTAATGATAGGCACTTTGACTGGTGGAGGTTATTGTGTTCTGTGTTTGCTGCCTCAGTGGTTTATTGGGCATAACCAAATTGAAAAATTCTGAGAACATGTAAGTAATCTTCAGAATTTATTACCGGGGAATGTAATGCTGTGAGAACCAGAGCCTAGAGCTGTGAAAGAACACAAACTCTGTGGTACTTCTACTCTTGCATTTAAACTATTGGTGTTTTAGGCCCAAATTTGCAGACATTAAAATCTGCATCTTTGAAGTCAGGTATTAAAGATGCAGCTGAGGAGAGTGTGGTAGGTACCTCGCTGGCATTGGTAAGTTGGGTATTACTCCTGGTATTTTGCAGAAGGGTACTCACCTTTTTTCTTTTGCTGCCAAGAGGATCTGCCAATCTATAATTGCCAAAGCATCTATTTCTTTCCTAGTCCAAACAGTAGATCCCGCACACTGGTGCAGGGAGACATTGTATGCAGCTGCCGTCCCTTTAGAGGTACTTCAGAGCCTGACAGGGAAAGGTTCTGACATAGATAAGGTGAGAATTAGCTCTCCTAGACTGAGGGATCAGATGACCTGTGTGGCCTCTGTGATCTTTGCACACTCATGTGTGACATTCTTGTCACACATTCACAGGTTTGTTGCTGTGGTGTCTTTTTTTTTTTTTTTGATCCGCTTTCTTTGATTTAAAAATAAAACTGACTCTTCCTTATGAGTCAGGACCCCTTCACCATGTGGTAGAGGAATTAGATTTACAGAGGGAAGCATTTTCCAAAAGCGAGATGAGATAATGAGTTCTCCAAGATTTTTATTTGGTTGTAGCCTCCTGATACAGCCATGTGCCTCGATCCCTGTATGTTTGCAGAAGGAGTTAGGAAACTGGAAGGCTTGATTGCTCTGATTTGCTTCCTCACCTTGGGCTACCCTTTGTTTTGCTGTGTCCCGTGTGACTGGCTCTACTCACCTTGTGAGATCTCTTGCTCCCACTTGGATTCATCCCATCCAACACCTTACCCATAAGCTTTTTGCACCTACCAACAAGAAGCCAGCTGGCCTTACATTTATCTATCTTTGCAGTATGTATTTGACTACCAAGAAGGCGATGTCTTTGGCTGTGTGGCTGACATTGGCTGGATCACAGGACATAGCTATGTTGTCTATGGACCACTCTGCAACGGAGGCACCACTGTGCTGTTCGAAAGCACTCCAGTGTACCCTGACCCAGGTGGGTAAAGGTTTGGCTAGACCTGCAGTTTGACAAGGCAAAAGGAGGTTATGCACCTATCCAGTGTGACCTGCCTGCTCAGGAAAGGCAAGCTCCATTTCTTTGGAATGTATTTCTGTAATGTTCAGGAACGTCTATGCATCCAGGGTGGAAAAAATAAAAATAAAACATGTTGCCATTGGTTTTGCTCTGCACTCACAGTAACCGCGGCTTTAGCTTTGACTATTAACCTTCAAGCTGAACTTTTGTGGTGGAATGTCAGTGGCAGTGTGTTTATGACCTTGCAGGTCGTTACTGGGAAGTGGTACAAAGGTTGAAAATTAATCAGTTTTATGGAGCACCTACAGCTATACGCTTGCTGCTGAATTATGGAGACAAGTGGGTGAAGAAATACGACAGATCATCCCTGAAGACCCTGGGATCAGGTAGGGGGCATAAAATCTTCCTCTGAAAAGGATATTGGGTTCTAGCTGATGAGGATGAAAATATCAGAGGGGCTTCACTAACCAGATGGGATGTGGTAAAAATAGTTGATAAAGCAGGCTCCCCATCTGGCTTTTCAGATATTGTCTTAGAAGAAGGGGAAACAAACTGAAACTGGGCACGTTGAACCTTAATGTAGTTGCCCATTTCCCAGCTCATTTTGCAGGATTGTATTCCTTCCTGAAAAGGTTTGTTCAATGGTAAATTAACTTTACTGGCTTAGGTGGCCCAAGCAGCATTTCACTGCATTATTTAGAATTCTAGAGGTTCTTATACATGACCTGAATCGATTAATTACTTCCTGTGATATTTATTGCTTGCCTTTTGGTCTTTCTGAAAAAAGTAAGTCTTCAGTTGCCTAAATGCATTGTAGTCCTTTGCACATCTCAGCAAAAAAAGCTGTAAGCATTCTGCTTACTCATGCAATCACCACGTTGTGCACCAAAAGGGAGAACAAACTGCCTGCAACCCCTTGAGTCTCAGGCTACTTCTTTCCTTTATTTATTTATCCATCTATTTATTTATTTATTATTTTGGATCTAGTGGGAGAGCCCATCAACAACGAAGCGTGGCAGTGGTTCTACCATGTGGTGGGAGAAGGGCGCTGCACCCTCGTGGACACATGGTGGCAGACAGGTAAAAGGCATCCTCGGGGAGTGTGCAGGGCCCTGATGGTTGATAGGGAGGCGGAGGTGGATAGAGAAGAATTTGTACGTTTAGATTCAATCCAATGAATCTGTCAAAAAAAAAAAAATCTGGCATTTTTTTCAGATCTGGAAAGTCACTGGGGAGTTTCTGCACATAATAACAGTATAACAGCATCTAAAAGTAATAGCAATGGTTTTTTGTGTTGTTTTATTATTATTTTTTATGTCCTTTCCCTCTCTAAATGTTCTTTGATATTTTGAAAGCTGGGAAATCTCAATTGGTTCTAGAAACAGAAGGCAGAGATTGAATTTTTAGGCAAAGCATGGAGTAGGCAGCTTGAATTAGAAATCTGATTTCCAGTTATTTATTGAACCGTAGTGACCTTGATGTGGGCTTATCACGAAAAGACATGTATAGTACTATATAGCCACAGACCGTACTTAGGTGTGTTTTGTTTCTGTGCCTGGAAAAGGTTAGAGGAGGATGGAAAGCTAAACCATGTAATCAAAGGCATCTACTGCAGCTACTCTGGCTGATTGTGAAGGAATCAGCTGGGGCTTGCTGGCTGTGCATGGACACTGGCAGCAGCCCCTCCCAGGACTGCAGGCGTATGCTTTATTTGCTTTGGCTGAGGCTGTGTTGCCTGGTGGGACCTGCATTTGAAGGAGTCCTGCAGCTCCTCCTTCCCAGCCCCAGCAGCAGCCAGTCCTCTCTTCTGCACGCCAACGTTCAAGAGCTGTAAAAGGTGTCTTGAATGCTCCATCTAAATCTTGATGGAAATAAAGCCTTCTCAAGCTGTGAGCCACACAGTTCACCATAAAAGACAGCACGGCTGCTGGCTTTCTGCCTCTGTTGAAAAAAAGCCTTCCTTACTCTTGAATTTCTAGCTGCTGTTGAGCAGAATATCCATTCCCTTTCTAGTCGAACTGCTCAAACCTTTCTTCCTGCTACCAGACTCCCTATTCAGGATCCCTGTGGCCAGTCTCAATGTGATGGGTTAGCTTCTGGCACCCAACCAAGTTCCATTTAATCCAGATTGGGCTTGCAGACTCTTTTTATTTTCAGATTTGAAATAAAACAGAGCAGCAATGTTATCTGCTCGGTACTTCAGTTACTAATACCTTAATCCATTTGGGTTCTCACATGCTGAACAGAAGAAAACGTGGCTGCCTAGGTGCTACATGCTGCCTTACTACTTTGAAATGAAACACCACGGAGAAGTAGTTGGTTACTGTACAGTGATGGAGATGAGAAAAATCTTTTTTGCCCCAACATTTTAGGTTTTAGCTTGTCTTCAGTCACTTATGCATGTAGTGTGGTAGGTTTCCTATGTTCCTTAAATACAGGGTTAGGTCTTAAATGAAGCTGTATTTCTCCTGGGTTTTTGAAGCAACAGCTGTCAGGTGGGAGGTCAAAGAACATTTGCTGGACAGTCTGTAAAAGCAGAGTGCTAGATTCGTATCTTGAACGAAGCATAGTTTTGCCTGCAAACAGTTACCAGCTCTTGGAAGCATAATATAATGATAAATATTCATGAAATTGATTCTACTTTCTAACAAAATCCGTCTTTCTGCACATGAGATTGATGCTTCCAATAAAGAGGAAGCCAAATTAATCATGGGAACACTACATACACTATACAAATGTAAAGGGAGTGTGGAAAGAGATCACAGAAACAGTTTGATGGATGCTGGTTGTGATCCTGCGGTGTCACTTCTCCCAGACAAATTTCAGTGTAGCTTGTTAATTATACTGCTGTATGCAGTGTCCTCTACGGTACATTGCTCTCCAAAGCAGTGGCATGTTGCCAGCTAATAAAGCCTGGTAGGCATAAAGATGAACAAATGGTGATTTAAGGATCCACTTGAATGTCTTTGGATGAGCAAATGAGTGAGATAGCAATTGTGAGAGGCAATTTAAGTAGCATCGTGTGTGCAGATGGGAGAGACAGAAAATTTCTATGGCTCTTGGTGTTAAAATATTAGGATGGGCTGTGATTGACAGTAACAGAGTCAAATAATAAAGGATAGATTTTCAGGTGTAGTTATTCACAGTGACATCAGGTATTTTTATTTTTGTTGCTGTTATATATATACATATATACACACATGAAGTACAGCTGTTGTATGCAGCTGTGAACAAAATCTTTTTGAGAGGCATCTCTGGGTAGGTCCTGGAAGCTTCTGTTGTTGGATTCTTACATTGGCATCGTGTTGCAATGGTTTAGACTGGGTTGGTGTTTCAGAGCTGGGTTCCTCCCTGCAGCAGTCAGGCAGTTGGTCCAGTTTGTCACAAAGAAAAAGGGAACGGGCAGCACATGCTGCACCCTGCTGCTGGAGGTGATTTACCCGCAGAAGGGAGCCTGTTCCAGTGCATCGCCTGCCCTGCTCAGACTCTGCTGGCCTTTTTTAAGGTCTGGGTGGCTTTGCACTGTGACAGCATTGGAACAGGTAGCATGGAAGCACAGCTTTTAACTTCTGCCAGCTCTGCCTCTGAGAAGACAGAGTTGAGAAAGTCAGGATAGAGCCTAGAAGCCTTGCTAGCTGCCATCCGTCAGTTGCTAAAATCTGCACTTTTTAACCAGTTTAAGACAGGTCTTGGCCATGCAAATAATTTTTAAAGCACCTCTATCACCACGCAGCTGTCTCTGAAGTGTGTCTTCACTGCTTCATGTGTAGCTGGTTTCGGGTTGTATAGGGTGTGGCAAAACACATGTTGAAACATATTTCGCAGTGCTGTATTCGGAATGAATACTGGCTTAGGAAAATCAACCGTCATTGCAATCTGGTTCCCTCCTCTGCCACAGATTTTTGTCTGTGCAAATACAGAGCAGCCTATGTCTGGGGTTCTTTTTTCTTTACCCAAATTTGAAAAAAAAATCAAGATGACCCTTTCACAATGAACAGAAGCATGTGACGTAGATGCACGTCCATCAATGAAATCTGAAATAATTTTACACGTAAGCCACATCTGAAACTACTTTCTGCAGGTCTGAAGCATGGGGTTCCCTCAAAGAGACCCTTCCTCGTAGCCACGTCAAGGTAACTGGATACAAATTCAGGGTCACATTGAGCCTTTCCAAACCCTGGTTTCAGTTTCCACAACCTCAGCAAAGCTGGTGGACCACAGCACTCTCAGAGTGGCAGAACATATCTTTATTTCTAGAGCTATATTTTTTGAAGCCTAATGTTCCTGTGTTTTTGTTTCTCTCTTGCGGTTTTTGAATTACTTTTAGAATAGATCTTATTAAGGTTGGAATCTGATTTAATGCTCATCCCAGCAGGAATGAAAAAGGATGATTAAAAGGTTCAATTTTGAATAGAAGATAATCTCAACCTGCCTGTGAGGGATGGGTTATTCTCATACCCTGTAATAACAGTAATTCAGACTCCTGAAATGCTTTTTATACTAACCTTAGACAGCTGTAAAAAAGCATGGGGAAATAAATCCCCTGCCACGCATAGACTTTCTCTGTAAAATCACTACTGGGCTAGGAAATGGGGCTGATGAGTACTGTCCCTGCTGCCAAGCAGCCCTGTTAATGTGAGGAAAAACCTGCATGGGTGGATGTAAGCATTCGAGCTGTATTCATTGCTGGTTGGTAGCTGGAGGAATGGCTTTATACGTGAGCTGACTTAGGGCCAGCTTCTGGGAGGAGAGCACATGGGCTGAATCAATGGGCGCTGCATCATGCCTGATGGATTTGCCACGGATGGGACCATGGGAGGGGTGTTGGACACACACGTTGTGTCTGCCACTGCAGGGTCTGCAGGCATGGTGCAAAGGCAGTGCTGTAGCCCTTGCAGTGCTCTTCGCTGAGCCTGGGGAGAGCTGAGCTGGATGTCAGTGGTCTTGATGCTTGGTGGTGTGGGGAGCCAACGCTCTGCCCCTGAGGCTGCTTAGCCATGCTCTGGTTTGTCACCAGCATACACAGAGGTGACTTCTGTATTCTCTTTAACAAAGAAAAGCTGGTGTTTGCTTTCATCCAGCATTGGATGGATCCCAAATATTTTATTTTCCATTATTCCTTCAGAAACCGGTGGCATCTGCATTGCCCCACGGCCTTCAGAGGAGAAAGCTGAGATCGTTCCAGCTATGGCCATGAGACCCTTCTTTGGGATTTTCCCCGTGCTGATGGATGAGAAAGTGAGTAGAGGCTGTGCCGGGTGCCCAAAAATGAAGCAGCTGCTTGTTTCTGCCTTAATCACCTTTCTGATGGGAGAAGAACAGGATCTGGGAGGATGTTTGTTCCTCCATTAAAATAGAATAGAAGAGCAATTTATATATTGGAGTACACCTCGAATGTCCATACAGATTTCCAACTGGACATTCCAAGCTGTCTGCAGATTTGGGGTGTCTGCATTTTCAGCTCCACTTCCATGGTCTTACAGTGTTTCTGATTAAGATCTGCTGCCTCGATTTATGAGAGCAGTCAGAATTTACGCAGCTGCTGGAAACCAGGGAGCTGAACGGTTGGAACAGCATGTGCAACATCTAGTGATGTAGCAAGACTGGAGCAGCCAGTGGGACTGACGTTTTTTCCAAGGGAAATGCAAGGCATGAGGCCCTGCAGCTGCGCCTGTCTGTGAGAGAAATGCTGGTCTGTGAAGCTGTGCTGAGCAATCCCCATCTGCGCTCCACTGCTCAGTAAAGGATGTAATCTCCTTCATACACAGCTTAGTAGGGGAATGTGGCAGTTAATAAAAACGAAAGTGGAAGGCAGGAGTCCAGGCATTTCCCTGCTAGCCCCGTCCACGCTTCCTTTGGCTGCCTGGCACATCTTTGCTGTTATCTTTTCCAGCCTTGCCGTCTGGAGAATCACAGGCCTCACTTTTCTTTTAGACTTACAATGGTATTTTCTGCAGTGCTGCTGGCTTCAAGGGGTGAGGAAGGCATGGCAGAGATTGTGTGCAGTAGTTCTGTTAGTGGATTCATTTTCTCCCTGTGTGACCTTCCGTTGGCAGTCTGTACTGAACAACAGAGTGATTCATGACAGATCAATGACTCAAAGGCACTTATTATTCCTGTTTTGCTCTCCTGATCATCCTTCCTTTGCTCGAATCTGCAGGGAAAGGTTGTAAAAGGCAATGATGTGTCTGGTGCACTCTGCATCGCCCAGCCATGGCCTGGCATGGCAAGAACGATCTACGGAGATCACCAGCGATTTGTTGATACCTATTTCAAAGCATATCCAGGTAAGGAGAGTGCCAAGGGAATGCAGTTTGCACTACAGTATAAGCATGCTGAATATTTTCAGCAGCATTTTGTAGTATTTCTCTACCAGCTAGATCTTGGGGGTGGCTGGAATTTGGTGTGTTACATGTTACAAGCATGCAGCTTCTAGGTTCTAGATGGTGTTGACCTTTTTAAGTATCAAAAAGGAATGTAGAAGAAGTTAGTGTCTAGATTAAAAATCCAGCATTCCCTTTCTTTGGGGCCATTTTTGTCTCATTTGGAAATAAACATGTAGGATGGGAATGCACCTCCTGCATCACTCAGTCTCACCCTGGCTGACACAGGCTGTGTTACCTTTGTCCTTTTTTAAACATGGTCAAGTTGTATCTGGCGAGTAACTAGAAGTGGCAGGGAAAACACTTTGTAGGGGATTGGAGAAGACCAATCTTTAATAAGGGGAACAACTGAAACAAGGCAGAGAAGAATCAGGGGTTGTGCAAAATGGGGTGGAAAAGAAGAATGGGAAATGGATGGAGGAAATTGAATGAGCTCATATTCTCTTATTACTCACTGCATGTCTGCATCTGAAATCCTCATCATTCTTCACATAGGTTGATAGCTCCTATCAATAGATAATTGATTTGGAAAGGCAGGAAGCATGACTGAAAGTCCATGAACTGGACGATAATGGGTCCCGGCAAAAGCTAACTTCAAAGATGACAGCACTAGCTGCTTGCTGCTGTGCAGAAGCACCACAGGACATTCAGTTGTGGCCATGGCTTTGGTGAAGAGCCAATACAACCTGCATAACTAGTTGTGTCTTCAGTGACACTGCAGTTCCTTGGAACCACTGGGTCTTTTTCATTCTCCACCGTAAATTTTAGGCTCTCCAAACTCTATGCCTATCTTGTTTTTTATTTTATGCTTAGTTGCTGTGCATCTGTAGGCATGTAACGCTGAGGGAGAGCTGAGAACCCTCCATTGGTTTTATAAATCCAGCAGAGCATCACTATGCTGTGTTGCTGTGCTCAGTTTTACTTCAGGGACATGAGCCACTGCTTTCTCCTGATTGCTGACAATGATTCTGCCTATCCTGGCAGAGATCTGAGCTCTGTTGTCTTGGTGCTGTCCAGGTGCTTTCTAGGAGCCAGCAGAGCCCAGAGAGAGCAGCCAAAGGTTGGGGAATGGCAGAGGGAACAGGGAAATTACATGTGGCTGGTCACTCAGCTATAAGCTTAAGAATCCCTGCAAACTGCCTGATCCATCAGAGCCCAAAACAACAGGCTGTCACGCTTCTTGCTGCTAATTACCCGTGTCTTTCTGGTAGGTTACTATTTCACTGGGGATGGTGCTTACAGGACCAAGGAAGGCTATTACCAGATAACAGGGCGCATGGATGATGTCATTAACATCAGTGGACACAGGCTCGGGACGGCAGAGATAGAAGATGCAATGGTAAGCTCCAGCCAGGTAGAGGTCCCATAACAGCACGTATCTGTGGGGCTGGGTAGCCCTTGAAAGATGCTGTAAGAATTCAAGCAAATGCAGGGTCTGGTTGTGTGAGGTGGCAGTATTGCCTTTGGACCTCTGACCCTGCGTACATGCAGCCTGATGCATAATGAATAGCAAGAGTGAAAGAGGAATCAGTGCCTATTTGTGGTCTCCTTAATAAGAGGAAGTGAGAGAGGAGGCACAGCATGAGTAGTCCTTGCAACTTAATTGTCAGAGCTGTTTCTTCTCAGTGACATTGTTCTGTTGCAGATGTAGTTTTGGATGCTGATGGTGTCTCCCTAAGGGATTGGCTCTCCTGTTCACTCCTTCCCTTCTGCTAACACCTAGCCTTTCCTTCCCAAATCTGTGGTTCATGCACATCTGAACTAGCTGTGTATGGCTGAGAATTCATCAGTGTTGAAGCAATCTTGATTCATGTCAGCTGTGAAGATAGCATATCATTTTGAGAGAAAGTAGTATTAGCTCAGGGAATTGAAAACAAAAAGTACTCAAAGCATTTATCTTCCAAGCTTGACCTGGATATTTATTTCTGTATTATGTTCCTTGCCTGCAGACAGCACTTAAAAAATAACACTGGATAAACCTGACATGGCACATAGGATTCTATTTTTCTCTGTGAGAAAATTTTTTGTCTGTGTGGATTTCTGATCATGGAAATAGGATCTAGTTCCTCTCCCAGTTTGTGTGTGTGTGTATGCAAATGCATGCCTGTGGCCGCCAGCCAGCTATGCAGTGGGAAGGTGGAATCCACCTTTCCTATTGTGCATACAACAGAATCTGCCAAGGGAGAGTGAGAAATAGCTCAGAGAGATGGCAAGATACTGCAGATATGCAAGAACAGCTGGCACAAATGCTGCAGGGCTTGAAGCAGTTATTCTCTGAGTATTTTTGTTTGACTTTTTGTGAAGGCTGATCATCCTGAGGTCCCTGAGACGGCTGTGATTGGGTATCCACATGAAATCAAAGGAGAAGGTATGTGAAAAGCAGCAGCATCCTGACATGATACGTTTATACACTACTTAATTTCTAACCTCAACTCTGTTCTAAGTGGTGTCTGGGGAATATGAGCCAGTTGCCTTTAGGCTGACTGGCAGTACAGCCCTAAGAGGCAGTGGTAGGTGTGAAAATAACTGCAGGTTATTAATAACTGCTGGTTTTAGGTATTGTTCCCGTAACTATTTTCACACACATTGTTTACATATGTAGTAGAACTTCTTTAGAAAGGATTGTGTTCAGAGAAGTCCTTTGAAGAGAATGGGAACAGCTGATCTGCGTTGGCCAGCTTTAGATCCCAGTGATGCTTTGGTAATCCGTGTTGTCATTGTCACTCAGACCAGTCTGGTGCATGGAAGCTAAGACAAGGCTGGGCCATAGTTTTGAGGGCTGGAGTCTTGAATGCTATTGTAAACGGGATCAACATCTTTTTTGTCAGTCCCTAGATTGCACTTAGAAATGATCTGAAGCCTGCCTTGGCATTCAAATGAGCATTCATGCTCTTGGTAGTTTTGCCAGCCAAAATCTATTGTGAAGCATTCACATTTCATTTCATTTTGCTCATTTTTCTTCTAGGTGCCTTTGCTTTCATAGTGCTAAGGGACCAGGCAGCTGATATAGACCATGTCAAAGAAGAGCTCAAAACCATAGTAGCTACCAAGATAGCGAAGTATGCTGTGCCTGACCACATTCTGGTAAGTGGAAAACTGGGATCGTCTAGTTCCAACCCCCCTGCCATGGGCAGGGATACCTTCCATTAGAGGGATAGAATCCCACCAAAACTGTAGAAAAAGGCCACAACCTCAATTGTCACCAACGGGCAGAGTGACACTTTCTACTGAACGGTTGTTTTGCATTGATAATTATCGTCGACCCCAAATCCCAAAGCACTGGCTGTTCCTTCTGCACAACTCTGACAGCTATTCTGCCTGGCCCCGAGAGCACTGCTGAATTCAGGGCTCCGTTTCAAGCCTGCTCACCTTTCAGCAGCTCCTGTTGTGTGGTTGGAGAGAGTGCACAAAGCTGCCCTTCATGTGTCCCCCAAGGCCTATCTGCATCATTTCACTCTTTGCTTGGAGGCAGCGATCAGACCGCTTCTTTGAGGGGCTCTGTTTTCGGCACATGCTGGGAAGATGGATGCCAAGATACAGGCTATGAAATGCAACAGGAGCAGGCATCTGCTTTTAAGTCCTTTGCAGGAAGCATAGCAAAGGTATTTAACACTTGTCTGGTTATGAAGGAAGTCGTGTAGGCTGACATTATGATCAGGCAGCATCAGCAGCCAGGAGTTACCACTGGAGCGGGAGATCCTGTGGCTGGCATGCGGTGTTGTGTGCTTTATGCTCCCAGCCTGTAAGTGGGGTTATGACTGCCTGCTTTGGTAATGCGCTGAGATTTGTGTCATCATCAATGCCTGAGTTTTCAAGCGTAACTAACTTTCTAGTTCAGCAGTTAACAGCTTGTTCAGGGCCTGAGTCTCCAAATATCTGTGGCTCCTGCAGCACCCAACCTGGAGTTACACGGCAATGAGTAAATGAGGAACAAAGTCCACTGAAATAAGAATACATTTTATAGCAGAAGGGATTGATGCTAGCAACATTCCTTTGCTTGGACAAAAACTAATATGCTCAATGGTTTAGTAGTTCCCAGGAGTCTCGAAGGAGCTGTTGACAAGGGGTAGTGCCAGGCTTAGGATTGTTCAGCCAGATTTCCTTGTGATTTCCAGCAAGATCCAGGTTCTGATATAGGTCTGTCTTTCTCTTCTCTGCAGGTGGTGAAACGTCTTCCTAAAACCCGATCTGGGAAGATCATGAGAAGACTGCTGAGGAAAGTAGTCAGTGAGGAGTCAAGTAACATGGGAGATATCACCACACTTGATGATCCAAGTGTTGTCAGAGAGATACTGGATGCTTACCAGAAATATAAAAAAGAGAAGAGTTCTTCATAGCAGGCAGCTTCGGAATCTGTCCCCTCTGGAAATGTGGAGTCTCGAATAACCAGGCAAACAGCTTGGTTCTCTCTTGGTGTATTCTGCAAAACACATTTCTGTTGTAGAGGAACAATGTTTTCCTCTCCACAAAGCGTTTTGAGATGCCCAGAGCTAGGAGTGTTCTGCAGTCTTGCACCATCAGGGAACTTCCTTTTACTGCTTTTAGGGCTGAGGTAGAGCAGCCATTGGTGGTTTCCATTAGCGATGATGAAAATAATACTAGCTGAAGCAAGATGAAATTGTTAATGTTTCTCATTTTAATGCCACTGTACAGGGAAATATTTTTATATGATATTTTTGCTTTTTTAAGAGCAGCCCTGGAATACACTCCTATTTTTCCTTCAGCTTGGATATCCAAGTTCAAGTAGTTGTATTTAACTGCAACCGTGGTGCCTTTTCAGCAATGCTGGGTATTTTACTAGATATTTCACATGTGTTACTACAAAAATGAGGACTTGGCTAATCTGATAATTGTCTCCTTTGGCTTTCCTCATAACGACTTGTTCATTCCACTACATTTCCAGGACTTGCCTGAGATGGTGAGCATGTGGCCCTTAATGTCACACTTAGGCAGCCCAGCAGTAGCACTTCTAGCTACAAAACTGAGCCACAAAGCCTATCCCTAGGCTCCCTGAAAGTCCTCAGTGTACTGCCAGTTGTGCAGGAGGGGTCTGGTGCCAAGTATTTTTACTCTGCCTTGAGAGATGGAGATCACCAACTGGGATTTTAAAGTAACTGTCCTCTGCCCCATTGGTGATGATGATTTGTTGTAGTTGCCTTTGTTTTTTTGAAGTCACTCTGAAAAGGGGACTATGTTTACATTTCTGTCTGCTAGAGGAGCATTGGGAAATAGAATCCTGAAGTGTTCGAGAGAGATTTGGAGCTGAGAGAGATGCGCTGGAAGGTTCATGTGACTTGCTGTGGTTTCTGGCCAAGGAATGGTTATTTTAGCCTGCTCCCAAAAGGCCTGTAACGTGGTTTGCCCCCAACAAAGACAGGCACCCAGTAAGTTGTTTCTCCTGTCAGAAGCTGTCTTATTGCTTATCATTTCAACTCGTGCCTTATCATGTATGCCCCTTCCACATGCTGCTGTGCTGATCTTCCAGAGAGTTAACTGCCAGGTTGGAACATACAGACAGCACAATCCACAAAGTACGAGGAGAAGGAAGTGCCTCTCAGATGCTTTCTGGAAGGAGATGGTGGTATTCCAGGCCAGCAACCTCAGAGAAACAGGGAACAATATTGTCTGTCTTTCAGATGCTTTCAAAAATGCAACTGATACATTCAGTGCTTTATTTCTGAGTTCTTTTTTGTTTTATCATGAACCACTGTGCCAGCACACAGGTCATCTGTCAAGGCTTGCAGTCCTGTCTTTCTCATATGACAGTCTGCTTAGTTTCATGGAGCTGCGTGTTTTGGCCTGCCAACCCTCTGAGCAATTGGTAAGATGGCCAATTTTTGCCACAGTTCTGCAGGAGTGACTTATTTCTGAATTTGACTGGAGCAGCATTACCTTTTCAGGTGGGATTGTGTACAGACAGTCTGTGCACCTAACTGCAGGCAGGAAAAGGAGATGGCGAGGTGGTTCTGTAGGACTGGGGGAGAAGTGGTGAGTTTTTTGGCCAGCAGAGATTCTGATACTAAATGGGGAAGCAAACTACTTGCAGAGGGATATGTTCTCAGACAGATGTGTTGTCTTAGATCCCAGAGTTCCTCTTGAGTACACTAGCTGCATTTGCTCCTTTTTTTTTCCTTTTTTTTAAAAATCTGTTTTAAATGTCTCTAGGGACTGGGTAATGCAGAGTAGGGAAGATTGTACTTTGTTAAAATTCCCATCTTTCTAACTGAAATCCATTTTTGCTTAAGGTAAGTAGATACCCCGTGGACTTTGTGGGAAGATGAGGATCAGAATGTTTGCTAAAGTTGAGAGGATGTTAATGTTTTAGGGGACAGCCACTACACAGATCCTCTACTGCCTCTGCAAAAGAAAACGTCCTCTTCCTTAAGTGATTTTTCAAGTGGGAAGCAGACAGTAGTTAATGCTTTTGATAGAAGAAGTAGACTCCCTTGTTTAAACAAGTTGTCTCCACACAGTCTGAAATACAGTGTGAAGAGAGAAAAATGATCTTTGAACAAGATTGCGAGCTTTATTTTTAGTCAAAGTATTTTCTGTGTTATGCATATAGAATTTCCTTGTCCTGGTAATGTGAAATTTCCATGCTAAGGCATGACCCAGTCACAGATGTGGTTTAATTCATCTGAACTGTCTCTCAAAGACTAACTATGTGAGGAACAACATGCTTCGGTGCACTGAGATGTTGGCATCCAATCCATCTGCTCAGGGAAAAGGGGAGATGGGTGTGTTCCCCCACCTGTGTCCCTGCTGTCTCAGCTTGCATGTGCTTAGGGACCACAGCTGTCAGGGAGGTTAGGGACTGACTGTGGCTGCAGCATCCCAGTAAATCCACAGGATGGTGTGGACTGTAATTACAAGCAAGCCTCACACTGTGAACTTGGGATGCCTCACAAGTACTTTTTGCTAAAATCACGTCAACGGCATGTGCTAGGTAGAGTACCATCCCACACCACGATGGCCACTCTATTTCTTGTGAGTTTTCTCAGCTGAGCCATGGTCACAGAATTTCTAGGTTGGAAGAGACCTCAAGATCATCGAGTCCAACCTCTGACCTAACGCTAACAGTCCTCCACTAAACCATATCACTGAGCTCTACATCTAAACGTCTTTTAAAGACCTCCAGGGATGGGGACTCCAGCACTTCCCTGGGCAGCCCGTTCCAATGCCTAACAAATTAGGATGTCCCTGGGATGCCATCTGCTCAGAGGTCCCCTGGGATGTTCAGAGAGAACACGTGGTGCTGTCACGCTGCTCACATGGTGTGCTGCAGTGGGTGCAGCTCCTGGGCAGCCTCAGCCCCCACCTCTCCTGGTAAAACTGCTCTTTTGGGAGCATACCTGCATCAGCTCTTGGAGCTATCAGCCAGGGCTCAGTTCAGTTAATAGCACCCTGAGGCTGGTAGGAGACAGCTAGGCAGGACTTGGAACTGATATTCCCTAGAAAACAAAAACCATTGTGCTGCACTGGGCAGACTACTCGTAGAAGGTTTTGCCAAACAGATTAAATTTTCCAGCCTGAGAACCACCCCCTCTCATTTTATTTTTTCCTCCATGATCTCTAACTGCAGCTGTTGCATCTTCAGTGCAAAGCCTGAGTCAAGTTTTGCATTTTTGTTATTCCCTGGATGTCAGGAACATCAGCACAGCTGCATGTTGACAGTGCTTTCTGCTTCCCATGCAGCTGTGCCACCCCTCAGGCTTGTGGTTCAGGAAGGGGCTCAGCGTGCAGAGCTGGCACTGATGTGCTCAGTTCTTGAAATGCCAGGAGAGAGAGGTCACTTGGAAAGGACTTCAGGCCTGCTGCCTTTTAAGTTGATGCCCACTAATCACTCCAAGAAGGTAATGATATACGGAATGCTTTACAGAGGGATCAAGGGACACTCTTGGGGGTAGTTGAATCGTTTTTGAAAAGCAGAACTGCTGGACTCCTTCAAGCCTTTTGTGCATCCATGATTAACGCGGGGATAATTTGCCAGATTGCAATTGTAACTTTGTCAAAACAGTTTCAGACTCAGTTTTACCTGTTGCAATTTGATGCAAAGGGCAAATGAAAACTTTCAAAAAGAGAAATAATTCCTGCCAGGGAAACAGTGCATCTCAACAGTGTGACTGCTGTGGCAGAGTCTAGTTGTGATATACCCTACCTATGCCTGTCCATCCGGTGCTTACTTTGTTTTCCCACTCAAACTTACCAGTGAAACCTGATTGTGGTGCCTTTTCCCCCACTGAAGGCACAGACCATGATTTTCTTAATTTTAGGAAAGGAAAAGCAATCTTTCCAGAGATGATGTGTTGTACAGATTAATGTTAACCATTTCATTTTTTTTTATAATCATGCTTTAAACACATTTATTATCCTTGACCAAAATAAGTTTCTCCAGTGATCTCTGTATTCAAATTGTCATTAAAAGTATCTTTCTCTATGTGATGCATTGGCTTTGTATTATGTGTGTCTGACCTTCCATCCCTTCAAGGATCTGGGGTTTCATTCATTCCTTTGGGCTTGCTTTTGCTTCTCCAGCTTATTTGAGTCTGTCAAGAAGAAAGACAAAAGAGTTTGAGATGATGATGTGTCACCCCGTAGTCCAAATTGCTGCTTTACTTTATTGCTTTTCTCGAAACAGTAGCTCACAGGAAATGAGTGGCTGCCAGAAAACTGCATGACAACTGAAGAAGGGGAAGAATTAGCGCTTGGTGTCTGAAAGCTGCACGTCTCATGTAAATCCTGAAGTCCCAGCGCTCTGCAATTATTTTCCTGTGCTTCCATTGCACAGAACAATTAAGGGGAGCAATTAGTTACCGTTAGTTAGTATGGATGGTTCTGCTACTGATCTTGTGGGTTTTTGTTTGTTTGTTTTTCATAGAAGCATGCACAGCCTGCACAACGGGGTGTGTGTGGGGAAGGTGAGACACACAGTGCTGTGCAGGAGCGTGTAGCTGTCCTGCAGCTGAGGGAAGAAATGTGTTTCCAGGAGCCACAGGCCACTTGTAAATGCCAGGAACACCCTCTGCAGGATGTCTTGTCCACGAAAGAGCAGGGAAGATTGTGTTTCACCACCAGCATACCACACAGATGACACTACAGCTGTATTGCAGGGACGGACACTGAACATCCTCGTTAGCCACTGCTCGGGTTACCTCCAGCAGCTGCCTCTGGAAAGCTTCCCAACTCCACACTGGGAAGCATCTCCTACAAGTTCCAGGAAGAGCTAGATAACAAGGCAGGTGTCCTGGTGATCCATTTATTTGGGAATTGGTAAAGTGGAGACTGTTTTCCAGCCGAACACAATCATAATCAGGGGCTGCCTCTGTAGCCAGTTAACGCCACAGCAACTTACCTCAGTAACAAGCTTCTGCTTTTAAAGAAGGGTGGTACAAAATGTTCATTTTCACCTCAAAAATGGGAAATTCAGGACGGGGGATTATTCCCAAGTGAGTTTAGAAGCTTATAGCAGTGAGCTTGCCCCTGCTCCGTCCTGGATGGGCGGATTTGGGGCTGTTCAGCTACTTTTGGAGCTTCCCCTCTCCTCTCCCTCCTGCTCGGTGCCCCAGTGCCCCCTGGTGGATAACGGGGGGGGCTCCGTGAGGGGGCTGAGCCGGGGGGGGGGCTGCGCTGAGCCGGGACCGGGCCTCGCTTGGGGAGCCCGGAGTCTCACCGGGAGCCTCCCGGAGCCCCCGGGGTGGCCACCGGAGAGCGGCCCCGGGGCTACCGAGCACGCAGGCGCCGCCGAAGCCGAGCTGGGCGGGCCCGGGGGCGGGCAAAGGCCGGGGCCGAGGCCGGGGGCTGGGGCCGGGGAGGATGAATGAGGCCGAGGGGCTTCGGCAGCGCCGGCCGCTCCGCCCGCAGGTCATCACCGAGGACAGCCCGGCGCAGGAGGCCAAGGAGGGCAGGTGGGGCTGCGAGGGGGTGGGGGGGAACCGGCCCCGGGCTCCTCCGAGGGCTTCGTGCAGGGCTGGGCTCCCTGGAAAGTATTGGCTTAAGGGGTGGCTGCTTTGGGGGTTTTCTGGCCTTTTTTGGCCTTTTTTCTCCTCTTTTTCGTAGTGCTCGTGCTTGGTTAGCGAAGCGCTGCTGGTGACCGTGCTGTGTTTGCGGGTGTGTGGGCACCGTGCAACGCCTTGGTTGGGGTCTGGGAAGGGCTGCATGAGGAGGCTGTGGTGTAACGAGCAGCCTGCGTGTGTTTCAGACTCTCGTAATACCCTTGTGAAAGCGTTGTTTGCTTGCGGCGAGGTTCAAAGTTCTGCTTGTAGCTTTCTGCGCAGGCATTTTGTGCAAAGTTGGCTTGGCTGTAACAGCAAGGTGGTAGCTGCCATCAGAAAGCAGGGTTTGGGCCCTGCTGAATGACCTGCGTGACAACTAGCACCGCTCTGGCTCCCCGTGTCTCCTCTTTGAACACCTCACAGGTTCTTCTCTCTGCCCTTCGGGGCCATCAGGCTGAGGGAGGCGCTTTTGGCTGTGTGGTGACCTGCACACACAGACCCCTTTCCACCAGCATCACTTAGCACGTCTTCCTGCCTTCACCCTCTCTTGCTAACTTTTCTCAAATCAGTTGTGTTTCTAGGACTCCAGCAGCGATCCAGAGTATCCATCGCCCCAGCAGGTCCTCAGGAGGATGAGGCAGCTCCGGGTTGCTGGTTGTGGTGACCTCTAGTGTCTTCTTGTCAGCCTGCTGTCTCCAAGAGCTGGTGCAACAGCTTCTCTTCTTAGGTTCTCAGTGCCAACTGACTGACTGTTGTTATACCCGGAGCCCTGGGAAGTCGTATCCTTGAGATCTGTGGCTGGAGTCCGTGCGAGTTTAATTTTCAGAGACGCAATTAGCTAAGGACCTCCGTTTTGTTTATCAGTGTTAGTAAACTAACTTCAGTGTTTCTTTCTAGTGACCAGTCCCTGACTTACATCTGTCTGTATTCGGTATTGGGTATGTTCCATTTGTTTGCTTTTGCAGTGATCCTCGGCATCTGACTTCTCAAGTGTTTGCTGTTGTTTGTTTGCTTTTCTTTAAATTCTTGCGGTTTCAGCAGGATCTAAAGTAGGTCTTGCAGTTTGCAGGCTTGAAGTGCGATTTTGCACGTCACCTCATTCTTCCTGCTTCTTTCCTTTATTGTCAATTCCTTGCAAGTTTGAGTGAGGCTCAGAAATATGACCTTTACTTATGCCATGCTTTCAGGAGCTTTAATTAAGTTGGCTTTCGCAGATGAGTTCCCATTCATCTTTATTAGCTTCCTGTTGTGTGAGCTGTTCTCAGCTGTCACAAAGATGCTTAGGTGACTGCTGACAGCACTTTTAATCTCACAGCATTGAGCCATCATCTTTTGAAGGACAGTGGAAGGGCAAGGCTGACAGCCGAAGTCTTTGTATAAACCTGGGGGCCCTCTCATATCTCTTCTACTCTCTCCTTTCCAAATCCAAAGGGAAAAAGACTGGAATGCTGCTTCCCCAAGACACATAGTGTTAGAACAGATAGTGCTGAAATCTGGTGGTTCATTGCAAGGTCAGCCTGGCCCTAGGGAATTACGGAGAGGTCAGTCAATGTGGATGAGAAAGCTTATTTGAAGCAGTTTCTGTATCTGCTCACGTCATCTTGGATGGAGACAGGCTGACTGCTGTAACGCTGCTGAAGTGCACGAAGGGGATGCTGCGCTCTTGAATGTGAGAAATAAAATTGATTTATAAGTACGTCTGAGAGCAGGACCCAAGCAGGGTTTGCTGGTGGTGCATCCTCGGAGTGGTCACCTCGTCACAGCCTAGGTCTAGGCCTAGCTCTGTGCTTTCTGTCCCAGCAGGTAACCCCAAAGGTTACCTTGAGGCTGACACCAGTACTGCGTGCACATGCCTTTAGCTTTCCAGCTGTGGTATTTGTGCTCTGGGCAGTAGTTCCTGGTTTGTTCTGCCTGGATGATGTGCTGTCCTTCACCAGCCGAGTGGAAGTGGTCCAAGGATTAATGCAGAGCGATCGGGCACTGTTGGCCTTCATTTGTTTCATGCTGCAAAGAGACTGGCTGGCTGCACCAGTGAATATTTGAGAGTAGCTAAGATTGTGGGAGCTGCTTTCCTAGTTCAAGGCTAGGATTTATTGACTGTGGCTTTGTGCTTGGTTCTGTAAATGCCTGATTGAGGCTTCTAAGCTTGTTGAGAGCAAAATGTTTAATTCCTATGAAAAAACAGTTTTTGCTGTTTTGCTGTGTGTTAGTAAATAGATGATGCTTAATTTCTTCTGCATGTTAGGGTCAAGTTTTGAACCAGTTTTCGCTAAGTCAGGGAAGGATTCAATTAATCTCCTCTGATCTTTGTTGCATTAGTTGCTTGAACTTTTTCATCTAAAATTCGTATCTAGCTTATTTCTGTTATTTGAAAGATTCTGAGAGGTGTAGGTTTAACTTTGTGCCGTGATAGAAACTGATGCCAAAACTTTAATTCAAGTTTTAAACAAAACAAAACAAAAAAACAGATTAGTGGTGCTTTTCAGTCAGCTGTAACTTGTAGCCTGCATGAAACCTGTATGTGATACTACTCTCATAGTATGCTGTTGTGCTGAGGCTGGATAAATGTCCCTTTCTCTTATACTAACCCTGTCAAAGCGGACCTTTAAGGGTATTTGAGATGGTGGTTGAGCAAAAGTGTTTGTGCTTCTGTTTGTAAAGAAAACAGGCTGTTAAATATACATATAAATATTAGATCTTAAATCAGCTTAGCGTGTTAATCTTATTTCTTGTCTGTTCTTGGCAGCACTTACAGCAGCAAGGTGTTCCGTGTTACCTTCTTGACTTTGGCTGCAACTCTAACTGTGCCCCTGCTTGGAGCAACTGTTCTGCTGGATTGTCCTATAGACCCCCAGCCTATAAGGTAAGTTGTTGGTTTGTTTTGAAGGTGATATACAGAAGCATAGCTACTTGTATGTGTTCTGCTTTTTTTGTGACAAACAAGTCCACAGTGTAAAGTGATTTCAACTGGATTAAGAAATCGGGGAGTGATTGCAGTATTATCCAGTGCCATGGCTTGCTTCACATACCCAGTCTGTTTCTGAGTCATCCTGTGTGGTTGTGTGTACTGATCGGGGACTTACTGAATTATTTTGTTTGATTGTTAATCTACAAAATGTTTTTCCCGCTGTCCAAGCTGTCAGCAGGGCTTGTCGTTACTTACGTGTGCTCCTGTCTTCAGGGAGAAAAGAACTGCTCTTTGACTAGGGACCAATCTGTACGGCTGTACCAGAGCTGTGCCTGTTTCTGTCAAAGAGAGACTGTTCATCTCAAGATGTGAACTGAAACGATAACCTGACTGGGTGGATTTGGTGCTTCGTACCAGCTGAACCATATGATGATGTTATAGTTAAATGCAGATCTCACAAAGCAAATGCTTCTAGGTGATTTCTGCCTGGAAACATCTGAATCAATGTCTGCGTCAAATGTGGAATGTAACAGTGAG